ATTTCCTTTCAATGCTAGTAATCTGTGTTCAAGCCAAGGAAAAGAGTGCTGCGTTACCTTCTCTTAATTTTTGAAACCGCTACTAGGGTCACTCTCTGGCACTATAAATATTCTGTGATACTTTTTTCGTTCTTTCCTTAATTTTTCCACTTACACATCAATTTGTAAATCTCTTGCAGAAAAATGTATTTTCCATTGGGAAACACATGAACAATACATACACACACATGTACGTATGCACATTCACTCACTACACATACTTTACACCCAAAAAGTTTTCACATTCATTTGTTACACACATTCTTGTCTTTGTTGCTTGTATATCTTTGTTGTTAATATATTATCATTTTTTTTGTATATATATATATATTGGTTCTTGTTGTTTCTTTGCATTTATTTACGTAGACTCACATTCCAAGTCTGCCATGTTTGTTGTGAGCATTTCAGGAGACACACATGTTTATGTCTCAATGCATACATCGACCTACAAGATTGTGGGATTGGCAAATGGGTAAAATCCTAAAAAGTTGTTTATAGGATAAATAAAATGTATAGTAAAGAGTCAGGTAGTAGGCAGTTGACTATTGATCACATGTCGTAAAACAACACTATACAACAATATGGCATCGTCGATAGGATGTTTAAGTCACTTGGATGAACCAGAATTTGTCAAGACTTGAATCCACTGTTTTGCAGCCCAGGTGAAGGTTAAAAAAAATGAAAGACAGCAAGGCAAAAGGGGGAGAAAATGAAATAACTGACTTCTTCCGAGCTTTGGCAGGTTGTGAAGCTATAATGAAAATTTCTGTTATGGCATACCCCAAAGAATTGGAGGATTTGATTTTCATCAAAATTTCAGAATCTGTCTATATTTCTGAGATGAGGTATTATGTACATTATTTACATTATTTGGACTATTGTCCTCATCTTTGTCGCCATATTTATCGCAACGTTTCGGTCATTGTACACTCCGGCCTTCTTCAGGTGGTTGGAATGTCAAACTGAACCCTTCATTTTTCGCTCACTGGGTTAGACTGTTCTAGTTCTAATTGCTATGTTTTATCCATTAAACATGGCAAGTGGAACTAGAACAGTCTACCCCAGTGAGCAAAATAAAGGGTTCAGTTTGACATTCCAACCACCTGAAGAAGGCCGGAGCGTACAACGGCTGAAACATTGTGATAAATATGGCAACAAAGATGAGGACAATAGTTCGAATAATGTAAATAATGAAAATTTCAGAAATTATGAAAAAAAATTTATGACTTAAAAAGAAACTTGTCATAGTGGAAAGAACCAAATTTCTGTCCATTAAGCATAAACAAGATGAATAAATTTACAATATCTTCACTGATTGAGAGAAGGGAGCAGATTCTGCAAGTTTGAGAAACTGGGAACTCGAGATTTGACTATAGGGGATGAATTGATTTGATTACAGTTGATTGAAGGTATTGCTGATATGTCTCATAGGATATTGAAACAATTACAATTGAATAATTTGTCTAACTGCATGTGTGGAAGTTATACAACAACTGGAATTGATTAAAAATTATAATTCTACTGAGAACAATGTAGAAATATAAAGTATCAAAAAGGAATGCAGCAAGTGCAAATACTATAAAATTGACAGAAAAAAAAGGTGTCCTGCTTTTGGAAAAATTTGCCATAAGTGCAGAAGAAAAAAATCATTTTCTGTCTGTATGCAGAGTTAAAATTAAAATGGACAGTATAGAAAAATTTGAAAAAGAAAGACTTGATGACATCTTTTCAATACAAAGATCTAAGGAAAATAATTCTTTAAAAAAAAAATTAAATTAAATGGCATGACTTTTCCACTGCAAGTGGATATGGAGAGTGAGGTCACTCTAATCCCAAAAAAATTCTAGGAACAAATGGGTAAAGCAATATTTAGAAAAAAAATCATGTGAAACTGAGACAATTTGATGGATATTTTTATAAAAACTTTGGGTTACTTCAATGGAACTTTTGAAACCTGTGACTGATTTGAAATTATTCCCATTACAGTAGTGGAATGTAAAAAAAAAAAAAGTCATGGACTAGTGGGAATAGATGTTCTAAAGGTGGATACATCAAAATTAATCAATAAATAAAAAAAATATGGTATAAAAAAGACAAAGTAGCAAGTCCTGAGAAAGCTAATTTCATCATACAAATGGTACATAATACAGCCAATATATCAAAGAAGGAGAAAAACTAATGGCTCATTCTGACCAAATAAGACCCAGAATTGAAGAGGAAGATGTTGTGATTGAGGAAGATCTTAACAAAGAAGAAAAGATGAGTTCTTCAGATCAGGATGATTTAATAGAAAACGTGCCTATGAATGATAGTGAGAGTGACAGACATGGAAGACAATGAAATGAGACCAAGATCTTCATTAAAAAAACAGAACATAGACCTCAAAGGGGAGAGGAGGAAAGAGGTTGGAGAAGAAGATTCAGAACAGCAAAAGGTATTAAACCTATTCAGTTCAGGGAGGTGTGGTGGGATTGGCAAATAGGATTGTGTATATGTTGGATATAGGATAAATAAAGTGTAGAGTAAAGAGTCAGATGGGAGGAAGTTGACAACTGATCACATGTCGTAAAACAACACTTTTCAAGCAAGATGTTCTCTCTTGGTGAATTGGTGCAACACAATCTTCCTACCCCTGTTCTATCTTTAAATTTGGCCTTGTACTGAACTTACAGATTGGGTGGGTAGCATAATAGCTTTTAGCAAGGACAATGGAATTGGCATGCAGAGTTCAAATTTTTGTTTAGTCTGTTGTGTTCACTTTTACTCAAATATCTTTGGTTAAAGCATGAATCCCTCTCTTCTCCCTACAGCTACAGGTTAAATAGCAAGGTAGTCTGAGCTCTCTAGCCTTGGGTGACAGCTGTCTAGGAAAATGGGAATTCAAAAGAATTTAAGAAGTAATGGAAATTCATAAATAGGGAAGAAATGAAATCTGCAGTGTGCTGTGATCACCTACGTCTTGAAAGGACATGGTATTAAAAAAATAAAACTAAAGGAAGCATTTCTCACACCCCTGAGGACCAAAAAAGAGGTACATGTAATATTTATTGAGATTATTTGCAATCCTGTCAGTTAACTGATGGGATTTACCTTAAATAATAACAATCATTGAATAACAGACTGAGAGATGTGACAAAAAGTAACAGAAATTAGATGAAAGATATACTAGTCAAAAATGAATACTAACAATACTTCATTAAAGAGATTCAAACAATATCACTAAAAATATTAAATGCGTATATAAACAAACAAGATGACAATCTATTGGGGAAAATAAAGAATGAAATCTTTATGGGTACATTTGAATTTTTCTAAGCAGTTGATCTTTGTAGCCTAATCAGTAAAGCAGCTGCTCTGAACAGACAGGGTTTGTGAAGATTAAGGATGTTAATCTGAATTTTTTTTTTCTTTATGTGACATATCCCTTTAGGATGTGGGCAATCATAGCTCTCCACAATTTTCCGTTACTTGTAATTCTAAGCAACATTTAATTCTTCACCTCCTTATCCCTCTTGTGCAATCCACTCATAGAAACTCATTAGGTAAATTACTAATTCCTTCTACACTTCAATTCCTTCAACAATCATTACCAATCCTCCATATCCTCATGATCTTTGCTTCCTATTCTTACGTTCATATCACACACACCCATTCAGTAAATCTCTATCTTAAGTGGCTCTCAAGCCTTGTCTTGAATGAACATTATTGAATAAAACCTCTAACCATCAGTATGTCCTGTGAGTGTCAAATTCTCCAAGCCCTCTTTCTTTATTATTCACTAGCAGCATGGCCCGGCATTGCCCGTGCTTGATTCAAAAATCGTACGACTCATACAGCAATCGCTATCACTTGACTTAAAATATTTTTGCCCTTCCTTGCCTTTAAAGGAGTGCCCTTTTCCGTGCTAATGTTGTTACATGCCTTACTTCTTGCCTATCTCACACTGCAAATTTTTTCTAAGCTCTATACTAAACATTAAATCTGTTACGGAAAAAGAACTAAACAAAATGAACACAAAACGATCAGATTTAAAAAAGGACTCGTAACTGGAAAAACCGAATGAAAAAAGAATGTTAACAACAAATACTTTTTCAGAATCCAACCCAGTTCTTCAGAATCAGGATCAACATTGAGTTTAAGCAAGTGAATGAGCCAATTGGAGTAAAGTGCCATGCAGATTTAAATTTTTCCCACTTGTGATGAATGCAGCAATCGATTTTTTTTGCATGCTAGCATGCTAGTTAACATTCGTGTCAGTCAGCTGTTGCCTCTCACGCTGGCCAATAGAATCTTCCTGCCTATTCGTGGCAGCTAGCTATAGGCTCTCACTCTGGCCAGTAGAAAATGGCCGCAAACTACATGAAAACTGCCATAGAAGCATGAAAAAATCGATTATTTCCACTATTGATGGGAGTTGGGAAATGCAAAGTCAGTCTTGGCCTTCCTGCTAACTTGGAGCATGTACATATAAATTTTGGTGTAAATCCATTGAAAATTGCGGCCATGCATTCATTACACACACACACACACACACACACACACACACATCCTGCCTTTTATAGATAGAGATTCCAGTGTTCTTTTAGTTCCTATTTTCTGTAAGATTTTCATTGTTCACATGTTCAGTCCATACATCCCTCTGCAGAATCACATTTCTGTTGATTCAAGTCTCCTCCAACATTCACTGACATATACAAGATTAGATATCTGATTTGTACTGTTTACTAATAACTGTAGGATAAGTGTGAGAGTTAAAATAAAAAGTTACAGAAATAAGATGGAAGAAATGCTGGTGAAAAATTAACAAGAACTACTAATTTTATTTTACAATTAACAAATTCTATTCCATTGATTTACCATTTTACAGCTATTTAACTTCAAACAAGAAAGAAAAGAACATTTTGTGGAAGGCATTTAATGTAATTAAAACATAACAATCTATTTTTCTTTGCATTTTAAAGGTTTCCTCTTCATTTAAAAATGAGGAAGAAGTACGAGCTGTTATCGAAGGTCAAGTAATGTCTCGAAGGGTTCATGCAGAAACATTAGGATTCAAGATTTGTAAGTAATGTTTCAAATTTTCATTAGTTTTATTATTTTATTTGCTTCTAGTGTATCAAATCTACATTATTAGTTTCATATAAAAAATGGATGAATTTTTTTTTCCCACCTGAAGATAGAAAATAGAAAAGATGATATCCAATATTTTGGAGGTATTTGGTGAATACTTTGCAGAAAGATTGCAAACAAATTCAATCTGAAAGTTATCAGTATTATTGTTTCTCTATAGAATAGAATGTTAAGAAAATATTTTCTTTATGAAGAGAGTCATATATTTCTGACACTCATATATAAAAGACTGTCACAGATGGTCTGTATTAAAAACAATGTTATTTACCTGTCGTACCCTCTCAAAATGTTTGCTGCAACTGTATTTGTTTTTAATCATTCCACCCCAAGCAAGGCGATAATGCTACTAAGATGCAAGGGGTTACTGGGACTGAAAGAGAATGAGAAGACTTTAATGAGATTGGTTGGTTTGTTGTGTTTTACAGCATATCAACTTCAATGGGTTATTTAATGCCGACAAGATTTTTTTTTTTTTCCGGTAATATTTTGTTTTGTCAAAAATCTATTTCTGGTGATATTTTTTTCCTCAAAAATGTATAGCTGGTAATATTATTTTATAACATGTATTCCTGGTAATATTATTTTATAACATGTATTCCTGGTAATATTTTTTTTTTTTTTTTTTTTTTTCAAGAAAATATTGCTGGTAATATTTTTTTTCAAAAATATATTGCTGATAAGTTTTTTTGAAAAATATATTGCTGGTAATAGTTTTTTTTTTTTTCAAAAATTTATTTCTGCTAATAATTTTTTACAATGTATTTCTGGTATTAAAACCTATTTTTACACTTTTATAATGCTTTTTACCACAGTTTCGGGGTTAACTATTTGCCCATAGCTGGGACCCTAACAGGTGCTACCACCCTGGGTCAGGGTGGACCTGGGAATGCCAGCAATTAAGAGGTGGTTCTATACTCCTCAAAACCTCCTGATCAGAGGCCTTGATGTTGGACGTAGTATATCGTCTTACTCAGGATGTGGATGCAGTTTATTGTCATACCCAGGATGGACTTTAATGAGGAGAAAGGACAATAAAAGAATGCGGTTCGGGAAGACAGAAAATAGTGATTGACGTTGCATTTAAATTTTTAAAAAATATAAATGCCACTAACAGAACGTATTAAAGTTAAAACAAAAAAAAATGTATCCAGAAAAAGTACAATAAAACCAAACAATGAATAAAAGCCTGGAAGCCACAAATAAACTCTGGCTTTCCTGTCATATATTTATGATAATTATAGACTAGCAAAAAATCACCCACAACCATTTACAAGTTTCGATGATACCAACAGAGTTTAACTAAAAGTGTTTGACTTTAAGCAGAACTAATATAATATCTGAATTCAAGGAACTGTCTTGAGAATATGAATTTTGATCAAAAAATATTGTTAAATTATGCTAAGTGAATCTGCTTGGCACAGATTGACCTTGAACTCTGTTGCACATACACACTATGTTATAACATTCTCACTTACTTCTGTTGTTTATAGCTGTGCTTGGAAGGAAAGTGTGTAGAGTGTGGTCAGCTCACAACACAACAGAGGTTTCATCAGTGATCACATCTTATGCAGCAGTTTTTTGTTAAGTACAACATTTCCCAAGTTGTGCAACCACTATATACCTCAGCTCTTGCCCCTTACAATTTTTTCTCTTCAAAAACCAAATCCTACTTGAAAGGAACAAGATTTCAAGATGTCAAAAAAATTCAAGGGAATACGATGGGGCAGCTGCTTGCTATCCCAAAAATGGAGTTCCAGGAATACTTCCATCAACAGAAATGATTCTGGATAAAGTGTGTGGCTTCAGAAGGGAACTAATTTGAAGTAGATTAAATGCTGAATTGATGTGTGTTGTAGTTTTACTTTTTGATCAGATGTTGTATATTACGACATTCTGGTCCATTGTATACAGTGAGGAAAATAAGTATTCAATACATGTCACAAAACCAGTGTATTGTATTACTTACCTACCTGTACACTAAATATTTTCCTCAAGATTACACATATAGATTTCATCTTTACATTATAAGAGATTCATTTAAGAAAAGACATGGCAAAAAAGTGAAAATACAAAGATGTAACAGGCTGAGCCTAATATTTTGTGGAATAGGCTCTGCTTGTAATGATGAACTCCGCTTGCCAGAAGCTTCATTTGTCTGCTGGTATTTTGGGCCACTTTTTCCTGGCAGATCTTCTTCAGTTCATTCAAATTACTTGGCTGATGAGACACATGGGTACAGATTTTCAATCAAGTTCAAGATGTCTTCAATAGGTTAGTTTTCAAACCACTGTTTAATTGCATTGACAACATGATTAGAATCATTGATCTTCTAAAATACCCTATTGTACTTCATTTTTGAAGACTTGACTATTAAGAGGAGTTTCTTGTTCAATATATCTTGATGCATATCTCTATTATTCCTTAAAAAAATGGTTTATGGGATCAATATTTAATTAACAGAAAATCTCCTATCCACATTATTTTGATGATAAAAAAATACTGAGATATGGACAAATTTTAACAAAAATTTGTTTATTAATGGCTAAGAAATACAATTCTTAGAATTACTAACTCATCTATTTTATATTTAGAGATATTTGTAAAGATGAATCATTTCTTGTGTTTCTTTCTAGTACCAAAAACCAGAGTTTTAGCCACAGGTGGTGCATCTCAAAACAAAATCATCTTGAAGGTAAATATATAATAAAAAATATATGTATATATAAATAAAAAGAAAGAACAGTAAGATATATAATCTGGTGTTCTTATAGATATTTTTATTTTTACAAAATAGTGCTCAATGTAAATTTACAGAGCATTAATATTATAAATTAATTGATTTAAAATAATGTTTTTTTTCACTACACAGTTCTAACCATATTTCAAAAATGGAAGCTAAAAGCTTTGAATTTAATTTTGTAATTAAAGACATTAGTTCCATTTCATCCTCAAGAGAATTTTGGAGTAACTTATTTAAGTTACTCCAAAATTCGATTGTAGCAAAAAAAACGTATTTTAAATCAATTAATTTATAATATAAAAAATATATGTATTTTTTTTTGCCTTTTTCATGCATACATATATATCTATAATAGGTTGGAATTTGCTGTATCATTAATTTTATACATATTTATTTTGTGGACTCCTATCTCCACAAGGTGTATATATGATGTAATTATCAGGAGGGACTGGCCAGAAGTAACTTTTGAAGTTTGTCTCTGTGACTACTCTTGGCAATACATAGCTATGTTTTCCGTTGAGGCAGAACCGGGCTTAATCTGGCTCAAAATAGGGTGGCTCCTACCTGACAAAGGATCTTTTATCAATGAACTGAGGCAAAGCTTTACAAGACTGGATGCTCTTCCTGATGCCAAACTCATTTTTAATCCTGTGGGGGTGACATATCACCCACCTCACAAACAGAAAATCTAGTGGGAGAGCTGGTTTAGACACCAATCACCCATCCATGTCACAGGTTGCATTGTGTTATATGTTACCAGGAGCAGGCCTAAGCCTGACCTGACAAGTTGGTAATTAATCTTAACTGCCAATTATTATGTTTAATTCAAACTTTATTTGTTTCTAGTTAAAGTAACTGACATTTTTGTTTGTGAAATTTGTATTGACATATATAATGTATTTACCATAGTCTTTGCTACAATCTTGTATTGACATATATATTTACCATAGTCTTTGCTAAAATCTTTTTTATAAAACAAAATGCTATCTTGATTAGAAAAGTTTTTCTTAAAACTGTCAAAATATCGTCAAGATAATGCATGTCTCTTATTAATAAAATCTCTGCTTTCCTATTCAGATTATGTCGGATATCTTAAATGCTCCTGTTTATACACAAGATGTTGCTAACTCTGCAAGTCTTGGTGCAGCCTATCAAGCAGCTCGAGGTAAGACCTGATTTTCAGTTTTATATACAGAAAGAACAGAAGGAATAAATGTGATTTTAATGATTTACTTATTTTCTAACAACCTTTTCTGTTTCATTGACAAAATTAAGCAATGGTTTGTGTGATTGGAGAACCGAAGAAAAAAAAAGCAAATAAAGCAAAAAATGACTTACTACATCAAATATAAAGAAACCAAAAGAAAAAAAAAGATGGCTACTCATAAGGTGAATATTTAAGAATGTTACATTCTTGCAAATACGAAATTTTGCTGGTAATATGCAAATTTCCAACCATGAGAAAGAATATAAAAATCACATTACCAATGTGGGAAGGGGAAAATTGTTTATATCCTATAATTTTCGCATAGTCGAGAGTGATTTTTTTTTTTTTTTACAGTGGATGAATGGTAAGAGCACAAGAGATAGAGAAGAGAATATGACAAAAGAAGAGATTTATTGTTGCCAAAGCAAACATGAAAGAACCAACGAGAAAAGACAGTGAAATTGATTCTTTTACAAGTGAACACAAAGTAGTTTGCTTGGAGATTGTTAAATCAGTAACTAATTTTAAATTTTATTTTTAAGAACTGCGAGGTAACCTTGACATATTTGGGAAGGATAATAGAATAATCCAGGACCTATACTGGGGGAAAACTGCCTGAATACAGATAGAAAATGAATTCAGTAAATATACAAAAATAGAAAGAGGATGTGTCTTCTCACTGGACTTATTCAATCTATACAGTGAGGTGGTTCTAAGAGAATTAGAAATGCTACCAGAATTCATTCAGTCTTAGCAACATAAGATATGCAGATGACATAGAAAGGAAACTATAAGAACTCCTACAGAAGGTAGTGAAGGAAAGCAAGATGAAAGAACTAAACCTCAATTGCAAGAAGATAAAATGCATAGTTGTCAGCAAAAGGGACACATCCCAACATACAAATTACAAATTGGAGATACCAAAATCAAGCAAGTACAACAATTTAAATATCTGGGAAGCATTTTAACAGTGGACAGAAAGTGTGACATTGAAATGCGAAGGTGCAATGGGTTAGCGAAAGATGCCTTCCAAAAGCTAAGCAAAGTATTAAGAAATAGGAAAATTTTGGTAGAAACAAGGAAAAAAGTACTGAACTGTTATGCAATATCAGTCCTCCTATATGGCAATAAATGCTTGACAATCTCCTCACAGATAATGAAGAGACTTTAAGCAACAGAAATGTAGTTCTACAAAAGGATGCTGAGAAAATCATGGACTGAACATGTGAGTAATGACAAAGTTTTAGAGAAAATGGAAACAAAAAGGACACTTATACTTAGAATCAGAAATAGAGAACTTAAATTTCTAGGGCACATAATGAGGAAAGAGAGCTTGGAAATTTTGATACTCCCAGGACAATATTGAAGGTAAGAGGACCAGTTGCACATAACCTACCTGACAAACTTGGGTAAATATTTGATAGAACAGAGAGATAGTGAAAAGACAAAATTTACTAAGAACTGCAAAAAGACAAAAAGGAAATTATGGAGAGTCATGATCGTCAATGTTCTGAACGGACATAGCAAATAGAAGTCGTAGTACTTGATTCCAAATCAGAGCACTGGATCCATCTCTTTTGCGGTTAGTCTTATTATTTATAAAATTTATGATTTTTCTTGGGTAGAAACTTTTGCTTTATAATAATGTAAATATTTCTCGATATCAATGAAGGCATCACCCATAAAATAATGAATTCTTCAAGTTCAGTTTAACATCTGCAGGATTGAACAGCTAATAACATAATAAAAAGAAAAATACAACAAAGTAACAAACCAATGTTTTAATCCATTTAATTTTGGAGGATCAAGTGTGGAATTTTTTTTGAGTATCCTTCTTTTCATAAACAGAGATTGTATTTATCTCAAACTAGGTCTACTGAGCAGGTGCCAGTGTCTAACATGTGCACTGATTCTTTTAGTTGTGCTATAATTATTCAGTGCTGTTTTATATTATTTTGACGTAATTCCACAGGGCTTGATAACCATCCTTTTTTCTCCATATATGATCAAACATTCCTCATTTCAGTCTCTCTGTCTCAAGACTATAGCCTTTTGAAATTCATCCTATTTTACTTTTAAGGTGTAGCTCTTCTCACCATTGTATATCTTGCAGTAACTACATTGGATGGAATACACAGTTCTTGATTCACAGGTGACATATTTCTGAAGAGTTGAACAACTTTTGAATACCATTACAATGTATGGATTGCAGACCTTTTGAAACTTTTCAGATATACTCCTTACATATAGTACACAAAACGAGCAGATTTTTTACTTTTTTGTTACTTTTGTGATTAGTAGTTACATTGAAAGGTATTTTGAATGCTAATCACCTGTAGGTGTGTGTCTAAATGACCATTTATAGGTTTTGACAGATTTTGTAGGCAACAAACAATTCTTTTCTTAACACTATGGATAATGGGAATTGAAGTTCAGGTATTGTCCAGAGGCTTACAATATACAATGTCATGAATTGTTTAGCACATTGACTGCCAGAGGTCCATTATGAAATTTGACTTCAAACACCGACTTTATATTAGCCAACAAAATATTTTTAGGATTTAATTTACAGCTTCAACTGAAGTCTTAACATTGTTTTCATATGGAAAGTATCAATACGAATAAACTTGTTGCTTGCACCTGCAGATGAAAATGCATCAGAAAATGAAAAGCATGATATAACTAAGTGGGCAATTTTTGTTATAACTAGAATTTTTTTGTCTGTCGATATTTCTGAGATGAGGTATTATGTACATTATTTGGACTATTGTCCTCATCTTTGTCACCATATTTATTGCAACGTTTCAGCTGTTGTACACTCCGGCCTTCTTCAGGTGGTTGGAATGTCAAACTTAACCCTTTATTTCACTTACTGGGGTAGACTGTTCTAGTTCCATGTGCCATGTCTAATGGATGCCAGTTATCAATTATCTCCTGTTAATTTCCCTCTGAAAGTTATCCACTGCCTTAACCTTATATTGAACTCACACTCTTTGGGTCCTCTCACTGGATCTAATCAACACCTTTATCCACTGTGCCATGTGTTCATGGTTGGAAATCAATGTGTTAAAATATAAGTACATCCATGAAGACCAATTGATTTTCTACTTTGTTATCTATTGTGAACTATATCTAAGGTCATATCATGTTCACATAGCCCAGCATGTACTTACACATTTTCCTGGTGAAGTTTGAACTCTTAAGAACACATGGCACAGTGGATAAAGGCGTTAGTTGGATCCAGTGACAGGACCCAAAGACTTGTGAGTTCAATACCTGGTTAAGGCAGTTGAGAACTTGGAGAGGTGAATTAACAGGAGATAACTGATAACTGACATCCATTAGACATGGCACCTTGAAGTAGAACAATCTACCCCAGCAAGTGAAATAAAGGGTTCAGTTTGGCATTCCAATCACCTGAAGGAGGCCAAAGTATACAACAGCTTGAAACGTTGGGATAAATATGGCAATAAATATTTTCATCTATGGAACAGTGAACAATCTCACAACATTGTGTTCGTATAAATGGGAGTTATCTCTGATGGGCTCCACAAAGTCAACAAAGTCAACAGTTTTTTCGTTGATTTATTTTTTTTTACATTGAATGGAGATTTACCTGTTAATAGGTTGATTATACCTGCAAACATTGTTTGACCATGTGAACTAATATAAAATCTCTCCTAAGCATGGAAAGTGAAATAAGAATTATCTACCTGTGTATTGAATAAAGGATTTGGTTCAAAATTCTGACAGACCTTGAAGGCTGGAGAGCACACTGGCCAAAATGTTATGAGTATAACAACCAAGATGAGTAGAATAGTCCTAATATAAAAGCATTTGTTTTTAAATAATGAAATGCACCCGATATATTACTCTTACCTATATCCTAAAATTTTGTCAATGTGATTGGTTCATACAAATTTTATTGCAAAAATAAACTTTCATTATAAAATCTGACACATACTGTTTTAAAATGATTTCTTTTTAATGTAATTTCCAATGTATAATATGCATTTTTTTCTAAAAAAATAATAAGCAAAATTAGGGGTGCATATTATGCACAGCTACAAAAAAAATCTTCAAAAAATTGCCATTTCATAGGCCGATTTCAGTTGTAAAATAACTACTCACCACAAACATACAACAATTTGATACTAACATTCGGCGATTGTGACCCCATAAGGATACTATCATATGTACCTAAATTACAATAATAGTATTTTATGTTCCAAATCATTTTTTGTGAAAAACTACATACAGATCCAGTAGACTTTACATTTTATCAAACAAAAACAGGTTAATGAGTCTACACAGTAGGCACAATATAGGTATTTCTGTTTCCTTTTAGAATCGTGATGATCAGAAATTTTGATAAATATCTTCAATTACAGCTTGAATAAGAGTAGGAAACATGGGCCATAATGAAATTGGAGAGGTACAATTTATAGGGTTTGATTACCAAACAAAGGGTGCATGTTATGTGTGAGTAGAAGCATGTTCCCACACTTTCAGCACAATTTTAGGTGTGTGTATTATGGATGAAGGCGTATTATACATGGGGAATTACGGTAAGTCTCCCCTTTTGGGTGTTAGCTTTTGATTACATTTATAGTTTTATTTTATAAGGTATCAAATCAAAAGATGCTATTTTTGTATCATACTCTACAAGTTCAAACTAAACCATTGCCACCTGTAATGTCAACAGTGCTTGAGGCCGTCTTAGAGTAGGGTAATGGTTAATGAGCTTATTTATGGTTACCAATGAGTTTGATACTCATCAAGTGCCTGTTTCTGGCAATCTGGATCTCCAAGGTAATTTTTTAAAAAAAATACTATTCTTCATCGAATACAATGCTCAAGAGCCACTCAAAGTAGAGGGTTACTGAATGAGGTTGTTGTAAGGGTGTAAAGGGAGGAGGTAAGAAGTTCATATTTTGTAAGATAGATAATGCTTGAGG